ACACATGGTTCAGACTACCAGTGTACCAAAACATGGTTCAGACTACCAGTGTACCAACACATGGTTCAGACTACCAGTGTACCAGTGTGGTAATTTAAACCATGGTGTGACCTTGTTGTCGCAAACTCTGCTACCGTGCTTCATGGTGTGACCTTGTTGTCTCAATCTCTGCCGCTGTGCTTCATGGTGTGACCTTGTTGTCTCAATCTCTGCCGTCGTTCTTCATGGTGTGCCATTGTCTGAATCTCTGCCACCGTGCTCCATGGTGTGACCTTGCTGTCTCAATCTCTGCCGCCGTGCTTCATGGTGTGCCATTGTCTGAATCTCTGCCACCGTGCTCCATGGTGTGACCTTGTTGCCTCAATCTCTGCCGCCGTGCTTCATGGTGTGCGATTGTCTGAATCTCTGCCACCATGCTTCATAGTGTGACCTTGTTGTCTCAATCTCTGCCGCCGTGCTTCATGGTGTGACCTTGTTGTCTCAATCTCTGCTGCCGTGCTTCATGGTGTGACCTTGTTGTCTCAATCTCTGCCACCGTGCTTCATGGTGTGCCATTGTTGTCTCAATCTCTGCCACCGTGCTTCATGGTGTGCCATTGTTGTCTCAATCTCTGCCACCGTGCTTCATGGTGTGACCTTGTTGTCTCAATCTCTGCTGCCGTGCTCAATGGTGTGACCTTGTTGTCTCAATCTCTGCCACCGTGCTTCATGGTGTGCCCTTGTCGGAATCTCTGCCACCGTGCTCCATGGTCTGACCTTGCTGTCTCTATCTTTGTCACCGTGCTTCATGGTGTGCCATTGTTGTCTCAAACTGTGCCACCGTGCTTCATGGTGTGCCCTTGTCTGAATCTCTGCCATAGTGTTTCATGGTCCGACCTTGTTGTCTCAATCTTTGCCACCGTGCTTCATGAAGTGACCTTGTTGTCTTAATCTTTGCAACCATGCTTCATGGTGTGACCTTGTTGTCTCAATCTTTGCCACCGTGCTTCATGGTTTGACCTTGTGATGCAGGTCTCAGACGTTTACCACTTCGGTGAAACCCACGAGCACGGGTATGGTGACAAACCTAGTGACATAATCGGGGCGAACGGGGATTCGAACCCTCAATCATAGGTTTCTGTCGTGCCCAAGGGACGCAACTCTGGACAGCGAATCGCGGCGCCTTTAGACGACTGGGCCATCCATGCCCCGCTAAGTATCTTGAATTTTCAACATAACGTCTTGAAATACTAGGTTAGTATCGTGAAATTTCAAGAAAAAAGAAATGGCCCTAAAAGGCTTCCGTATCTCTGTCCACAGCCGCCCCGCTGTCCTGTTCACTCGGTTATTCAACACACACAAGGGTCCATCATATTGATAACACAACCAGCACATTTTCTTATCTTGTAATTAGATCAGGACTGATTAATAGTATTTTATCAACAGTGTTTTGAAGAGTCAAACGTTAATGGCTGGATACAGACAATCAAATTACCCCTACTGTCAGCATCGAGTCTGATGCATGTCACGGACATACAAACTGCCGTTCAACCAAACTGGATCAGTTGATGAGACACTCCATCTTAATTGTTGTCATGATTGTTGTGTCATTCGCTGAAGGAAATAAATGACATTGTATGTAGTTGAATGATAACTATAAATTCATTTAAAAACACAACTTATGGCAATAAAAGCGACACAGCCCTTCCCATATTCATAAGAATATCTCTGCTAAAAGCAGTCGATTGCGCGATGCCGCCTCAATCGTGAGCATGTCAGTGAATCACTATCGAATAGTGATAATAATAATGCCAGGTGTTCGGGAAAGGCGAGCCCGTCACAAACACTTGCAAAGGCAAGTCAAACAACAAATCAGTGTCACATATTATAGCTTTTTAAGAAGTTGAACCAGCTTTGAACCCCATATAGTTCCCAATTAAAGCTGGAATAGTATCATCTTCATACCGAACACTCCTAAACTCCTGGAAGGACTTTGGTACTCTATAGTCACCGCGTGCGAAATCGGCAACACCGGAAGCGCTCGTTAAATCTCCAACATCATCATCATCATCATCATCAATCACTGAAAACCAGTGATGCCACCAGGTGTTCGCGAAAATGGTGACGATTTAGAGTATTCTGAACCTAATTAGACGTATTTCAATATGATTATAAATATTTTTTCGAGCCATTCTTAATGCTTTTTGGAAATTATACATTTTTTGGCACCTACCAGCAGTCAAAGATAATTTTATGTGATATCCATAAGTTAATAAGATTGTTTATGATTATTACCGTAATGTTAATTGTTTGTTTCAACTGTTCAGGTACTGGTGCACTAACATCTAACATCAGACGGGGTACAGTGGTGAGACCTAGCTCCAGCATGTCCGACCCGTCCTAACAGGGGAAGGTAAGATGGCACTGTTTTTATAATATTCCTCTCGGGGATAGGAGCGGTGGGGTAGCCTAGTGGTTAAAGCATTTGCTCGTCACGCCCCGGGTTCAATTCCCCACAAGGTTATAATGTGTGAAGCCCATTTCTGGTGTTACCCGCAACGACATAGCTGGAATATTGCTAAAACCGGCGTAAAACCATACTCACTTACTCAATGACTCTCATAGACATATCGGTGGAAGACAAGGTGTGTGTGAGTGTGTTGGGTTTACCGCCGAATCACGGCGTGTCCATTTGATGATGGAGAAACAACAGTAATGCAGATCTTTGACGTTTACAACACTGGTGAAACAGCATGGGTATAGTGCTGACGGATTAAGAATCTTATCAAGGCGAATCTGGGATTCGAACCCACTATCATGGGATTTCGACATCCCAAAGACATTTCGGCGTCTTCGATGACTTGGCCAACCGTGCTCCCAAATGGGAGTGAGAGCGAAACGCGCGACCACTACTGTCTCACAGCGCCTCACCGTGAGTGAGTGAGTGTGTGAGTGAGTGCACAGCGCCTCACCGTGAGTGAGTGAGTGAGTACGCCGTCTACTCAATATCACGGCGGGGCTCACCAGCAATGGGTTTCACACATTGTACCCCTGTTGGGGAATATTTGGGTGTTCGGCGTGAGGAGCGAACGCTTTAACCACTAGGCTGCCCCACCGCCCTGGCATTCAAGAGTAACGGCGATGGTATCAGTGAAACAGATAGATAATTGTGCCAGCTTCCCCTCGTCGAGGTATGGCGACACACTATGCCAGCCAGGTTATTAAAACCTATCTACCGACACACATTTCAAACTGTCAGGAAAATTGAATTTGAAAAAAAATAAAATTACAAACGTTATCAATATGTTACCATGCCGAAAAGTAGTCCCGAAAAACTGCAAATTTAAAACAAAAAAACCCAACTATGATACCCGTATCAAATACATCATCATCGAATAGCCATCTTATTTGTTTCATTTAGCCACCACATGGCTGCATACTTTTGCCGGGCAGTTTAATCACCTTGTTCAACCTAGTTAAAATAAGTGGTATTTGCATGACGGGGATCGGATAAATTTGCATTCATAATATAATCTCAGCTCCCTGGGGAGAATGCACCCCAAGCGGCCTGTTAGGCGCGAGAAGGTTTGCATATACATTACCATCTCATCCTATTGGGTACCCATGATGGTTGACCTGATGGACATTCAGAACAATAGTAGTAGCGGAATTCTCTTGTGAAGGCGAGGGGTCGGGGATGTAATGAGAGAGATGGCCTCAATCAAAGGAGAATACATTTACATATAGTTGAAAACACACGTGACCCGTCTGGCTGAAACGTTTCTTAGAATTAGAGAAGGAATTACCTCTGGCAACCATGCCAGTCAGCCCAGACACTAACATAGAATAGTGCGGCCACTCGCGTCAATCTCCGTGCGAGAGACATGGTTTGTTCATTTCCTGGCGCTGCGGGACAGGAAACGAGCCCTAAACCTGGACTTGCTCTGTGGTATATGTCAGAGATCAGGTGTTAGCTGTCACGTGCCATGTGTCCAAGGTGTCATGGGTGTCGAGAGTCTGGCACCAGAGGTCTTACACAGCCCATAGCGGAGAGCTGGTGAAAGGCGTTTAATTGTTCAGAGAGGTCACTTTGTTTTAAGATGGTTGTATACAGTCGACAGTCTCCTTGATATAGCTGACTATTTTGTCCCAGACAACCTTGCTAGATGTGTTTAAGGGAATTCGAAAATCGGCATTTTTTCTCCACATCTGTTTGCATGAAAAGAATTCAGCATATCATATCATGGATACTTGTTTTATCAATGCGGTAAACCAATCCGAAAAACTTGGTATCACGATCCAATAAAGCGCATCATATAATGGATACTAGTTTAATCAATGCTATAAACCAATCCGAAAAACCTGGTATCAGTAATACGATAAATATGCAAATGAGGTCACCTAGTAGGAACTACTTTTAACCCCCAAACAACGATTACATGTCTGCTTGCTCAGTGTTGACTAACGTTTCCAATATATTTAGATATGGGTTCCCGAACTGTAGCGGTCTCTGTAGACAAACATAGCAGCATATAATTTGGCACTATTTGATACTAGGGCACGAAAACATTGTATTCATACGCGGTTTCTGATTGAAGTTACTTCATTAAATATATAACGTCTTAAATATCGTTTATTTTGAGAATAACATTATATTAATATAGAGATTTGCACTCTTGTGTGTTTCCGTTTCGTAAATACAATATAATATAATAACAAGTTTCGCGATGTTTATTTTGTATTTCTAATATATGAGACAGTATAATATATGTTTTACGATATGGAAACACAACCAGTTTTGCTCACTTATATATAAAATCAATCACGGATTCTCGCACCGTGTGAGTCGGTGTTTACATATTCCATGCTATACATTTCAAAGCCAACGCTATTTCCTTTATATATGAATAATATCGATCTTGTCTCGATGGTCTAAATAGCTGAAGGTGCGCCCACGAAAATTCTGTCGTTATTTTTCCTGTAACAGATTGTCAGATTTATGTGAGTGGCAGTGTTTTTTTTAACTTGACGGGAAATTAACGGTGAATACATTCCACTGGCAGGATGTAAGATTAGGCTTCTGCGGAGGGATGCAGATTACAGGATCCCCAGGAAACGTATGTTGATTGAAAATTCCAATTAGTCCACGTAACAGTGACTATTTATGTGACCAGGACAGTGTGTGGTTCTCTGACACCACTGTTGGTGCTGGACGCCATCACTCCGGACAACCTAAGATAGTACGTCCACAAATTGAATGAGTAGAACCGGTAACAGCTCAATTTTGTTGTTAATACTCCTCAAGCTACATTAAGCTCGGCTAGTACGTCATTGTTGTGCAGGGATTGGTGAGATTCGCACCTCGTAACACATACTCAAGCCGGTTTTGTTCGTCATGTCAACTGCAAGTGGACGTATGTCCATTGAAAAGTACAGCGTTTATTGAGGGAGGATGGACATTGTATCAAGGTAATGTAGTTGTGATGCTTTTCATGCTCTTTTCTGTGAATATCATGACATGGGTGAAATACTCTTCAAACTGCGTTAAACCCAACGTACTCTGTTCTGAATCCTTCAGAGAATATACTTATCTGCCCGGCAGAATGTAGACTCATGTTTAATGATGAAAAATGAAACAAACAAGAACTGGTTGTTCGATGGTGATATATTCGATACGGGTATCATAGTTGTGTTTTGTAGCACAGTGTCTGCAGTGTTCCGTCGACTGTTTTTGGACTAGTAACGTTTTGACGTTTGTAATGTTTGGTCAAATTCAATTTTCAAGTGTATATTTTCTTTTGCCCTTAACATCAGGTGAATATACTCAGGTTTTGGTTCCAGCATGATCAATAGTAAAAAGAATTCATTTTGGGTGTAACATGTTAGGCAAATGTACTTGATAAAGATCATGGTCTTCTCGGTGAATTTTAATATCAATTATCTACTGGATGATATAAAATGTAACATACTATGTTCTGCTGCCATGTTATAAACTGTACTATTCCCTGAAATTAAGGTCGCTATCGTGTTAGCGTTTTGTGACATATTCGTGCGTTCCATCGTCCTTACTGTTACTATGATGTTTTTAGCGCACCGGTCTCGAATGAGGGGATGTTTGTTTTGATCAGAAGTGTATTTTGAACAATGCCAGTGATATTAGTTAAATAAACAGGAAATATTAATACTTGTAAAACCATGGGAAGCTGTTGTCAGATTACTGTCGCTAATATGCATCACATGTGTGGGATTTGTTTTCCTTGTCCCAGTTTAGCCACAGAAACCACGCACCTGTCCTAGAAAATCCATAAATAAACAGATGCGGTTGAGATGTTGTTTATGAATACACTGAGAATGAGGTATAAGTGCACAGCGACTATTTTCACAAGTCACCACCCTGAGCCAAGGAAAGGAAATAACCTCTAATCTCTACAATGGCTCCATAGTCGTGGGATAGATGACAATTCCAGAGGGGAGCGTGTGTATGGGATGGGGTGTGTGATGGTCGGGTCGGTAAAATGTTATGCAGTCCTGAGACCAATCTCAGTTTTCACAATCACATGTTCCATTGGGCGTAAAAGGCAAAATAGTGGTAACAATTATATGAATGGATCACTAAAAATCAGTGATGACACCAGGTGTTCGCGAAAAGTGAGAATAAGAGACAGAAAGTCCTGCTCTACAAATCAAAAGTTCAGGTGCATCATTAACGTGTAACGTATCTCTGTCCAAATACATGACAACATAACGGTATCCAGTTCCAAAACAACTTTTATTGGTAAACATATTGGTAATATGGAAATATTACCCTATGCACAGAAACGGACAGTGATGATATAACAAGTGCCATTATAGCAACGGATACGCCCTCTCTATGTGGGATGTCAAGTATCATCGAAACCGAAGGACGATCACGTAGAACCATCTCTAGCTCGAGAGCAACCCACTCATCGTTGTGCGTACTCCCGATAACGCTATCTACACATCTAAATCCAGAGATAACTTGAGTATTGAGTGGAATAGCTATGGTGCTATCGACTCCGTCGTAAAACGGTTCACTATCGCGATTAACGACATTTTGTACGCGTTCTTGGTGTTTTCGAAATCTCGATTCGAAGACAGTTTCACAAATTAAGGTTCAAGACCAAAGCGTCTTCAAAACAGGATTTGACGTTTGAAGTGGTATATTCATTATAATGCGACATTATTACTGATGTGTGACCACTCTTGGTGATCGTAACGTTCCCAGTGCCTTGTGTTTGCCATATAAGTATACGGAAGAGGGGTTCCAGTAGTGAGAGGAGTTCCTGGATGATCACTCCGGTAGACCAACATTCAGCTTTGGTTGGTTGATGGAAAGTGTCATCGTAACAATGTATATTTATGACTATGGTCATCGACTGGTTTGCCAACTCCAGACTCGACACGCTGGTCGCCCTGATGCAACCCAGGTATTTCTGTTAGGGGCGTTATGCGACACCCCTTAAGTGTTGTGGAACGACAGTACCTGACGATACAACGCGGTCTCGCTGATTTAGGTAACGTCTGCATACATTGCCTTCATTCTGTGTCCATTGTACGATTTCTCGTCACGTAGATGTGGCGCCATCAATAGCAGTGCATTAGTACATTAACTGTACATTAATGTGATGTAATGATATAATCCGGTCTAGGCCTGGCAGCCAGCCTGTTAATGACATCAAGAATAAAGACGATGTATTGATGTGCGGAGAGAAGCCCATCAGCTGAGCTAGCCACTGGCGTGGACTTGCGAATTAGCTCGACCCAGCCTGGTCATACAGTACAACTGACCCGTCCTGGACTTGTACATTCAGCGCAACTGACCCGTCCAGTACAACTGACAATTGTACATTCAGTGCCCCTTATGAACCTGTACAATCCGGGCCATCCACTGAACACTTCGGTGAAACCCAAGAGCACGGGTATGATGCATGATCAACCTTGAAACATAATCGGGGCGAACCGAACCGGGATCAGAACCGGGATTCCATCTTACGTTTCTGCCGTGCCCAAGGGACGCACATCTGCACCATAGACTACTGGGCCTCCCGTGCATCCACACCAGAAGGAGTTTACAGATTAAGGTGACGGTCACAGCAAGGTTTGAGAGTTGATATGGATTTTCCATGCAGTTGTGAAAAAATGATTTGGATATACAGTAAACTACGTTAATAATGAACACGCTTAAAATGAACTCATTTTTTGTCCCGACCATTTGCTTTTCATATGCTGTATATATTTGAACTACGGTTATAAGGAGCTAAAATTAACGGTCCCACTGAGTTCGTTATAACCGTAGTTTACTGTATTTTATTGATATTAAATTTATTTTATGCATATGACATCATTCCTGTACTTCATTCTTTGAGACTGTACTGTATTCGGGATGTCTTTCCCCAAACCGGAAGTAACGTGAAGGTGGAAGAAGACTTTGGGGGCTAAGGGGGATGTTGCTAAGGGACAGCTTCTGTTTAACAAATAGATTTGTAGATCAATAATTATCATTCGACGTTTGTGCTGATGATGTCACTTCCCCTGTTGATACAGTGCCGCGGCTCCCAGTCTTCCGAAAGCTAAACTCACTTGAGTGAGTTTGGTTTTACGTCGCTTTTTACAATATTCCAGCAATATCACAATGAACCCGGGTCTCATGATGAGAGAAAGCTTTAACCACTAGGTTACCCCACATCCCCTAATTTCTTCGAACGGGTATATACAACTTACACAGTGACGCAATGTCCCATCGCATACATACACATTAACAACCATTATGGACGTTGAACTTTTCTATATACATACATTGGTACTAGTGCTTTTTAAAGCAAAATAAAGAGCACAGTCTATAATATCAGAATCTCAACGACCGTCGTTGAACATATACTTCCTGCGGCAATCAATATTATAATTTAATTTGCCGTGTTTTTTCAGATGACAGAGATGCGTAAAGAGCCCCCTTGAAATGGATCTGATAGACTATATTTCTCAGATCCGCTCATGCGTAGTGGAGAAATTCTCTTCCTCCCCATCAAGAGATGTTCGAGGGGAGACAACCACAGGCTGTAACAGACGGGATTCCGAAAATGGATGTAAGTGCTGGCAATCTCATATTGTTGCATAAAAGATCTTCTCAAATATGGAAGCAGTTTCGAAGCACGTTGATATCATTAATTTAATTTAATCTAACCGTTATTCTCTTTGCAAGCTTTTATTTCCACCTATATGCTGTGGATCCTTTAACAGTGATCGTGAATTACTATATGATTACCAACATTGCGGTACCTTTTCATCAATAAATTATGGTAGAATATTATATCAAAATAATTATTGCATCTGGTAATGCAATACAATCAACAGAGGTTCAATTCTAAAAAGAAATTCATTCAGTCCGCGATGCACACTTCACTCATTAAAAAACAACAATTAAATACAAATCTTAAAAAACTCAACGCTTTAATAAAAAAATGAAAATAGATAATACATGGAAAACATGATATTGATGATAATTGATCTCTGTAGGTTTTCTCGTCTTCCTGTCCAGTTTCCCCCATATGTAAATACGTAGTTCACGACACACAATCATTTCGCACAGCTGGTCAGATGAAAGGCATAGTAATTGTCTGTCTTGAGTCATAGCCAAGTTATCACAATGTACCAATCACCAATAATTGCCACCTGAATCAAATCACGGGTTGGTAAAAGTTCCTGTATCTTGTTTACATCGAGATTCACAACACAACACGTGCTCCAAAAACAATGTTCATTGTATTTTCATGACGTACACAAATGAGTAACGGTCTGTATCTTTTGATGTATACGTGTGTAACCTACAGTGGTCTTAAGTGTACTAAAATTCATTAGTGGGCGGAGCTTATGTGGCCACGTGACACTTGTTTCGTACACACTGCTTCAGACTTCTGTAGGTTTAAGGGCACAACATACGTGTGGAAAGTACACCTCAAATTGTTTCAAATACCTGAGTAAAATCCATAAAATATACAAACAAAGATACGAGCAAAATATACACCAACATTTTACGAGATAAATGAGATGAAATGAAAACAGGATATAATAAGGCATTGGTGGAACCACGTTGTTCTTTTCGGCACAGACAGTCGGCGTCCAGAGGGAAATGTTCATACGCAGGAAAAAACACAACTAATTTTGTTCAGTATTTTACATTTATTTATTATCCGTTGTTCATACTTGTTATCGAGAAAAGATCGAGTACTATTAAATTTTTCACAGTCATTACAATTTGTGTTGAACTATTTTTGTGTTGATTTGTCGAATGTACCAGTGGTATCGATATTCCTCATTTATTTCCATGATGTCATCGGGTTTTTTTTGCTAAAAGTATTTTAACTGGTGGTTCTAGTGTTATTACAGTACTGATATTGCAGTACTAGGGTTACCCATTTCTGTCATTGTATCGTCGATACACTGATAACGTTTGATGACCGTGGCACGATATTCAGTATTACGTTGCATTAATGTTAACCATACGGTCACGGCTTGCATATGAAAGTGTGGAACGGCCACCGGCAATATAACACGACCATGAAAATGTCATTATAGGAAATATCTGCCTCACCGTGGGTTTTCTATGGGCTATTTCCTTAACGCTTAGGCACAAGATATAAATCTTCCTTTATTTGATGGACGACGTTGGAGTGTAAATGTTTGCATCTGTAAGTCTGCGCGTCCCAGTGATGACTGTGGTGCAATCAGTCACGCGCACAGAGCCAAGAGATAGTTATCCGAGGTTGTCACTGATGTATGTTCTGATTGGCTCACGCCAGTGCTATGAGAATCCACAGCAGTGGGAATGTCTTAAACCCTCGGTTCCTCGCTCGGGGCATATCCTTGAGAGTTTAATCTTCTATTGACCTTCCGTGTGATTGTCTTGTTTTCGATTGTCGCAAATTAATCAGACGGTTTAATTGAGTCATAAATTCGTCCGTTGACAGTTGTAGCAATGTAACGACATTGACCACGATTATGATATTTCTAAGTTGTCCAATAAACATTGCCATATGCTGTGGTTATTAATTGTTCTCTGATTGGCATTTACCACTCCTAAACCGTTGTGACGTCACAGATCCTGTTCACGATATATAACGAAACATCTTAACCGATCACATTCGCACAAAGTCGGGGTGTCGATATCCTGCCGCCTTTATATCCACATTATGCACGTGATTCGAGATATACAAGTTCGCTGTTGATATTCAGAATGTGCGCGGAGTCTCGGGTCAGAGCTACTTGGGGTGATGGGCGTGATTTGTGAAGGGCTGTTGTGAACTGATACATTTACAAAATAGTCTTCTCGTCAATATTTAGTACAGAGTAGGGGTCTTTGTGATTACGGAACCTCGCAGCGTTAATGTGACCACTACCGGAGGCGTTGGCGACGTACAAGTCGACGTCGCTGTCTGATATTGGTTATTCCATTATCAATGCCTCAACTCTCGGCCCCCGAACAAGATGTCTTCTTACACCTAAATGCCAAACAACCGTCTCCATATTGATTCCCGTCTACCTACGGAAGTCGTGGTACCATTCCAGAACCTTCAGGGATGACCCAATATATACGCGTGGGAAGCCCCCAACTAAATATAGCTCGGATCGCAGAGACCACCTCTGCTATGTTTTCATTAGAACCATTATGACCAATTTCATGCAAGACGTACAAGGTTAGACAGTTGAACACCGTTTCAATTATCCCAGGCCTGTATGAACCATGATGGTCCGCGACGACGACAGTCTGCATCCGAGCCGGCTGATTGACTGTTGATGACATACAGGGGGCAATGACGGGCAAGCTGGGATAACCATCTATATTTCACTGAAAATATCCTCCCTGTGACTTACGCTTGGTGCTTTGTTCGAAGACTAACTATCAATTACCTCCCCAGTCGACCTCATTGCTTCCTCTGGTTCTCAGCAAATGAAATCTGTGAAGAGAAGAAGAGAGCGACCGGGAATTAGTTTTAATACCAACCATCTAATCCTTGACAGAGTTGACGCTCACCTTACAATAAGTATCGGATTGTCGTCTGCTTCACATTGGTAACACACAAAGGACACAGCCGTGATTGTCTTCCCACTGATTAATGTTAACGTGGGGAGTTTGTTTTAAACCTGCAGTAGCGAACATACACAATGGGACGGGGACAAACAGTGGTATGATAATGAGTTTGTCTTCCTTATTTCTAGCAGCGTCTGTTGCGGATAGAACGTCCAGGGATGAAGCGAGGCGGGAGAACGAGCAGTTGTCTGCCGAGGTTGAAGGCGCCCAGAGAGAGTACAAAAAGCTGAAGCAGGTCGTGGAGCACCTGACCAGGGATTACGAAGCCTCGAAGGACTTCGACCCTCTACGGAGGTACAAGAAGATGAAAGGGATGGTAAAACGCACCGTCCTCCATCTGCGACTGGACCCGGACCAGCAGGGGTCGTCCCAGGGGATTGTGGGGCTGGTCCAGGGGTGCAAGGACTACACCCTACAGCTTGAGGGGGTCAAGAGACGGGGAGAGAGAACTAACAGTGAGTACACCTTTCCTCTGCTCGGTGATTATCTACTTTCTTTATGTACATCTATTGGATAATGATAGCTTTTTACCTGGAAAAAGGTCGCACCCCTGTGATATGAATAATAACAAAAGACAATACCAAGGACAGGTCTTCACTTATAACATAATATGAACGGAAGCTTTAAACATTGTCGTTGTTCCAAACGTACTAGAACTTCATCACTGCTAACGGGAGCTTTTAAAAATATGACCCGAAACTAATTTCCCACAGTCTGTAAAATTATGCTCCAAATAACATCTTTGATGAATACGGCCCCGAAATAATCGAACCTAGAATGTGCATTTAGGTGTTGTTAAAGTTATCACCAGACATATGTCGTATACTTGTGCCAGAATATGCATGGGTCATGTCCATTAAATCAGACAGGGGCGTAATGCCGAACTGAAAGAATAGAAGAGACATCATAATGGTGCGTGAGAAATCAGCACACCTTGAAGCGCTCGTAAACCTCCAGCGTAGGTAACAGAACAAAGTATGAACGGTTAGATTAGATAGAGCATCTCGTATCTCGTATCTGATGGCAAAGAATATCCGGGTTATAATGGGTCTTCATCAACCCATGCTTGTCGTGAGAGGCGACTAACGGGATCGGGTGGTCAGGCTCGTAGACTTGGTTGATGCATGTCATCGTATTCCTATTGCGTAGATAGATGCTCATGATGTCATTCACTGGATTGTCTGGTCCAGACTTGTTTATTTACAGACCGCCGTCATATAACTGGAATATTGCTGAGGGCGACGTTAAACAACAAATAAACAAACACAATCTGATGGCAAAGAGTCTAGGGTATATTTAGTATATTTAGATTTTGATAACATAAACCGACTATGATTATAAATACATTCGAGAAAACCATTTCCGTATTCATAAGAAATCTGCATTGTATAATAGTGGCATATGTTCGTTTGCATGCGGCCTTTCATTACACACCGTAATATTTTAATTTGCATGTGCTGCCTCGGTCGCACAGAATACTACAAGCATGCTGTGGCAATTATCTTAATGTGAATTAGAAACCTTAATATGAAAACCCGGAAGTATTAGCACATTCCGTTGTGTAGCTATTTTGAAATAATTTCTTTTGGTCTTGTAACAAACTTTGCAATTCAGTTTAAAATCCATCATCGATTCTGTCTTTTCTTATTGAATTCTTGCTACTTCGAATGACGCTTTATCCTTAAGAACGACAGCACAGGATCATCCCCAATCAAATTATTATTCAAAATCCTAAACATCAAAAACCATAAAAATGACATGTTGAGTTCGAGATTTGTCGTCCTACTGGAGTCAAAATCCGAATTATATTCTTCTTTTATATAACTAAATGCCAAAGAAACGGTTTATGAATATTTTATAGGTTGGAATTGCTTTGACGTGGAATACGTGAACTTTACAACACACTGGACAATGCGTGGGTTGAGATTGGCTTTCGGCATATTATTCTTGGCCGTGTAGAACTGGCTCAGATAGGCGCATTTCTGTGTGTTCTAGGTGATATTACACCATTGTTGAGAGCTGTGTGCTTTATGATTGCCACTCCGAGGTGAATGTGTGAACACTTCTGTTATCTAAGGCTACAAACAGTCAAGCCGCAATCGATCAATAATACCCGTTACAAACGCCATTATTTCAGGTTCATACGTCATGCACCGACACCGCTCCATTCGAAATAATAAAACAACCAAGGCCTTTATTACGATACCTGCTTCACTTTGCTCATTACATCACCATCGAATAATTTCATTATTTTTATCAATATCATGAGTTCATATATATAGTTTCTATTTTCATCGTTGGTGGTACGGGTGGTCCAGTCGTCTAAGGCGCTTTAATTCGCTGTGCAGAGTTCCGTCCCTTGGGCACGCCAGAAATCTATGGTCGTGGGTTCGAATCCCGGTTCGCCCCGATTATGTTTCTAGGTTTGTCAGCACCATACCCATGCTCGTTGGTTTCACCATAAGGGGTAAATGTCTGAGACCTGCATCACTTTGGGCTTTCCTCCCACATTAAGCGGACACGCCGTGATATAACAGAAATACTGTTCCAACGCAACTCACTCACTCACTCACTATTTCCATCTTTATAATGCTTTCGCAGACCTCATCTTTAATGGTATCGGGTTTATTAAACATTGCGAGAGCATCAATACTAGTAGATGGCATCATAGATATCATCATATGTTTAGTGAGTGAGTATGGTTTTACGCCGCTTTAGCAATATTCCAGCAATATAACGGCGGGGCACACCAGAAATGGGCTTCACACATTGTACCCATGTCAGGAATCGAACCCGGGTCTTCGGTGTGACGAGCGAACGCTTAAACCACTAGGCTACCCGACCGCCCTTCATATGTTTAGAGGTTTCCCTGTGAACCAGTGGTATTCGATAGAACAAGACATACTGTATCTCGAAAACAGGGGGCATCGCGGGAGGTCCGGTTGTCGTAATTCGATATGCAGAGTTGCTTCCCTTAGGTGTGCCATAAACATATGCTCGTGGGTTCGAATCTCCGATTCCCTTGATTACATTTCCAGGTTTGTCAGCATCATACCAGAGGTTAAGTGATAAATGTCACGCATCACGTCAGGCTTTCCTCCCACATCAAGCTGACACGCCATGATAGGACAGAAATACTGTTAAACCAAACCCACTCACTCACTACAGCGTAAGAAGCGACTACCGGGATCGGGTGGTCAGGCTCTCTGACGTGGTTGATGCATGTCATCGTATCCAATTTGCGTAGATCGATGCTCATGGCGTCAATCACTGGCGTGTCTGGTTGAGACTCGATTATTTACAGACCGGCGTCATATAGCTGGAATATTGCGGAGTTTGGGGTTAAAAAATAACAACAAACAACAATAACAACATTCACTCCAACACCTGATGTACGAAATACCAAAAATGAAAAATCCAAAACTTTTGTCGTTCCAACCCGGCTACAGGTTACATGTTGTTCATCGAGGAATCGTGACACTGTAATTCAACTGGGTTTGAGTGGGCGAAGCGTTGCCTTGTTACGCTGAAAACCGGGGTTCGATTCCCCACATGGATAGAGTGTGCAAAGACATTTCATGGAATCCCCCATCGTTTTATGCCTGGAATAGTACTAGAAGCGGCGTTAAACCCAACTTACTCACTCACCTGAAACTAACAGGGACCGGAGTCACGGAGTGCACTTGCTGTTGTCACCTGCATGAGTTGCACACCTGCCGACCGCGGTTGCTGCTGCACAATGAGTGTGGTGCACTTTCTCCCCGGGCGTTGCTACACCTGCAGCTTATCAATACACGGCAGGAACAACAATGAACACGTAATAAGCATTCTATTATTACCAAAGTCGCATCCGAACCAATCTGACACCGCTATTGAAGTGGAGAAGTTGTGACGCCCACTTCATCTTGAAGACATATTGTTCCTGCAGCGACCAAATCGATCAACATTTTTATAGTATTACAAATATCCATATGTGTGATGAAAGTATTGCAAGAGACGAAAGTAGTTGGATGATACACAAGCTCATGTACGACAATATATATTTTGTAACAAAACGTGAATCAAATACAGGCTCATTGTGAAAAGAGACATATGTAAACACTAGCGCAAAGTTTTTTATTGATCATTATCAACGCTGATACTAAACTACCGGGCAAAAGAAAGTTTTCACTTTTTAGAAATAGCTGTATAAAAAGCAAAAATGCTGGTACAGGTTTGAACCCCCGCGGAAACATTCGCCCAAATGCACACAACCACAACGCAGATTTTCGAACGCAGCTTTCCAAATCATGCATTGGCCAAAAGGTCAAAAACGTGATTTTGAGACATTGGTCCAAATGCACGTGCGTGATTGTGGCATAAATACCGACGTTGGCAGAGCAGACATTCAGTAAGCAAAAAAACACCAAAAATATGCCCAGACTTACACAAGCGCAACGAGACAGAGCGATCGGTATGGCCAATATGGGGGCTAAACAACGTCAGATAGCCAGAACCTTCAACTGCTCCCAGACCACCATCAGCAAGTTGATAATCCGCAACCAACAGACAGGACAGACTCAAGACCGGCCAAGATCGAGAAGACCGAGAGTGACAACACCGGCCGCTACATCCGGCAGATTCACCTCCGAAACAGATGTGTGACGGCGATGTCAACGGCGGCAACAGTACTAGGGCATGCCATCAGCAGACGAACAGTCCTTCGACGACTTCGTACGGCTGGTATACGAGCCTACCGACCCTTCCGTGGAATGGCCTTGACCCGTCTACACCGTCAGACTGCAATGGGCACGAACTGAGTTTTTCGACGAAGGGGAGAGCGACTGGCGCCAAACTGCATTAGAGAAGTTCACCCGTTTGGAGGTGGAGGCGTCATGGGATGAACAAGACAACGCAAAGCCTCACACCGCCCGAATTGTTCAAGACTACCTGAACAACGTTAACGTCAACGTATTGCCCTGGCCACCTCGTTCTCCAGACATGAACCCCATTGAACATCTCTGGGATCATCTTACCCTGAGACAACATGTACCGCCTCCAGCGAACCGACAGGAACTTGAACAGACTCTATTGAACTTATGGAACAGGATCCCTGTTGACGTTATCCGCCGACTGACGACGTCAATGAGGAGGCGTGTGTTGGCGTGGATGGATGTCCAGGGTGGTCATATTCGCTATTGATGACGTGTTACCTGACTACTGTGTCATTAATGGACTCTTCATGCACTTTTTCAATGAACTCTGATTTGTGTAATTTTTAATTTGGACCCTTGACTCTTTCTTTGTGTATTGCGGAGAATGCAATATCGGCATTACAATGCAATTTCATTCTAATTCATGGAAAATGATTTCTGTTTATAAATTAATCATCATAAATCTCACATATGCCTTTGTTTTTGGTGTTTGGTCAAGTGAAGTCGGTGAAAACTTTCTTTTGCCCGGTAGTTTATTTTTA